TGGGGGCTAGCAAGGGCTACCCCAAATCCGCCAATGTTGGGATTATCAAAAATTATGTTTTTAGAGTTCAAGCTCTTGTTTGAGCCACGTTATATTCTTAAGAATGAATTTTTGAATAGTGTATCGACGGAAAATGTAAAGTTAAAAAATAAAGAAAAGTTTTGAATTTGTTTGTAATATTATATTATTGAAGAATATGCGATTGAAATGATCTCAAATCACTATTTAAAAATGTATTTTTTTTTTTTAAATGTGGCTTTATTCTATACTTTGATTCTCTATATGTGCTCGCACACTTAAAAAATACATGCATACAACTCAACCCACCATCCACGTTGTTGGCTAAGCACGATTTGCGCTCCATGCTGGGCCCACAAGACCATTTACTTAAATTCTTGGTTTCATTTTTTCTTTAATAAAAAATCAATTAAAATTTGGATTAAGGTATAGCTCCAAATCTTATCTCTAGAACTGGGCCCAGAACTGTCCAGATAAAGGAACAGGGTGGCCCACGGCCCAATATGGGTTGTGCTTGTGGTAAGCTTTTCAGAGACCGGTACACTCCATTTTGTGTGTATATTATTCTCATCCATTCCATTATTTCCGATCGTTTTCGACACTTCTTAAATAGCCAAAATCGAAAAATATGTATAAGATCATGGACGTACACGTATTACCATATGAAGATAGATCACCGCAGGACTTAAATGTTTATATTGTAGGTGAGAAATTCCTCTAGTTGGTAGGTGAATCTTTGAGAGATTTTAAGGTGACTTTATTTTTCGGAAGAGAGGCAATTCCAATTAATAGGAGCAAACTCATGTATGCAAACCTAATCCCTCCACGTTGACGTCTTGGATAGTACCACTTGTCAAATCCTTTGAAAAAAAGATCGATACTTGACAGTGACCCTTGATCATAATTGATCAAATATACAACAATGAAATTCTTGAGCGTCATACAAATTGTCATTACGAGATGACCATCCCATAAGTTAAAAGACCCCGAAAGTAGGGATACTATGTAGTATGAATCCAAGTAGTTCGGATTTTAAAATGTGAAATAATCGATCTTGATTCTTTTGTTGGTTGGTAAGCTATTGTTTCGTAATGTTCTTTTTTTCCTTCAAATTTCAACTTTCAAGTTGATCAAACTTCATTTGTAACATGAAATACAATTTTTATCCATTTTAACCATACATTTCATGGATCGAATCCATCAACTTATTTCAAAATTCTTGGACAATGCCTACGTGACCTCAAATTCTTGAGCAATTCCTACGTGGCCTCCACGTAAATTTAAGGTGTAACAATCTCAAAATCAGTATTAGAGATGGGAAATCCAAAAATATCAACAATGATAGACGTACACGTATAATCACATCAATTTTAATGAGAAAAAGACTTAAATTAAAGTTTGTAGGAAGATAGATCTTTTCGAGATTACGTAGGTGACAAGATTTTTGAAGGTGTAGGCCAAAAGTTGGGGGTGAATATTCTTTTGAACGTGTCATACATTGATTGATTAACTTGACTACCTCCACTTAGATGTATTGGATTTGCCCACTTAGGGATCACAACGGATCAAGAACGGGCCTTGACATCCGAACTCGGCTCGTGTTCACAAAATTGGCCTGATTTGATCCTTTGTCTTCGGGGCTTTAGGTACAGAACCGAGTTGTCCAAGAGCATAGTTGTTTTTCTTTAAAAAATTAATAAAATAAGCTAAAAAATGAGTCAGTCCACAAGACCAAAATGAGTTGGCTCGTGAAAAAAATGGCTTTCGACTCAGTCCATGGCATGTCTTAAAACAAGCCCAAGCCTGTAAGGGGCTCGTTCTGTTTATCATCCCCATGATAACTCCATGCAATACTAAAACTGATCGATAAGTCGTCTATTATTGCATCTCAGAAAAAAAAAATCATCTTCTATTAAAATCTCTTGCATCTTGACTTTATTAGTGATTCAGGTCTAAAGTTTGAAGGTCAACTCACCATCGCAACTAACTAGTGCTGGAAAACTAGGTTATGAGCTGGGGGATCACGAGTTTATTTAAGGCATTGTACCTCTTCGTTCAATGACTTTTCCTTCATATAAATACACCAAAGTTTCATGCAAATTAGGCAAATCAAATATAAACTTATAAGTAATAATAAATGTCCATGCCTTCATTCTTCATTGCCATGTTCATTTTCTTCCTGATATTATCTCCTCCGGTGACTACCACCAAAGGTCCAAAGATCACTGCTATGGTCGTTGCTGCGTCGAGGCTGCTGGCCGGGTGGAAACCCAACGATCAAATGACGATGTTTAAACCGGAGGCAGAAAATCTGTGTTCCATAGTAAAGCTGTGGATAACTGTATGCCTAAAGGCAAAAGGCATTCCTCTGCGCCAAGCCATAACATAAATTACCATACTTTTGGTTCAACAATGTGTGACACAGTCGACACACCATGAATATATATATGTTCATGTAGATATGGAAATAATGTAAGCTTTTAAATGTTTTAGTTTGTGTGCCCATTTTCTCTATCTTTTTAAGTGTCTTGTATTGTAAAATTACTCGATGTACACAATTGTAGCAAATATATCTATACATAATTTAAATTATTTAAAAATATTTTTCAAACATGTTCGGGATAGGGTCAACAAAAGTATATAGTGCAAGGGATGCGCCGCGATGTTAAAATGGACTGAACAAGAGTAATGAAAATCTATGAGTTATCGTGTCTCAAATTACCTCATGTATATTGAAGCAGGAACACGTCTCTCATAATTTATTTTAGTTTTTCTCTCTCCCTAATTATAAGTAAAAAAGTGTTAAGCATATCCAAACATGCTCGGTGTATTTACAGTCCATTAAGGGGCCTGTATATATTTGGAAAAATTTCATATACAAGAGATTAAGTATAGGATATTTCAAAAAATAAAATAAAAAATAAGTATCATATTTCACCAATCAGATATTAGCCTAAAAATGAATACAAATATTAATTTACTTTAAAAAGGAAAACAATCCCGAAAAATTAGCCTGAGATACCGTACCAGCAGGATTATCCATAAAAAGAAGAAATCATCTCTCAAACTGATTCCAATAGCCAGAAGATCTGAAAATACATCCAAAATAACGCCGGCTCTCACGGAAGTGACGGTAAAATCAAATTCTGGTAACAAATTACAGTCACTGGGTCGTATTAGGTCGGATTAAAACACGATGCCTCGACCAGTCACTGATTACATTCATCAGGTGTGTAATTACGATTTATTCATTATAATTTGTCGTTTATTCATGCTTGACAAGCTTCGATTGATGAAAAATGTGATTTTTGATGGAACTGTGATCATGAATATCGTACATTGCTGTTCGAAATTGTTGTGACCGTTATGGAAAACATGTGACCGGCTATTCATAAGATGTGACCTCATGCAGTCAGTACGCATTGGTGTTTGTGTCTCGGAATGTGTGACGTGTGACATACTGCATCTGTGTTTTATGATATTAATGCTCTTGTTTGAATCTAATTATACGCGATAGATCTATACTTAGTTACCATGACTGATTATTGTATGTAATTGCGATTTAATACGCACATGTGACCTGCATGTAGTCAATATGTGACCATGACATTCAAGATACGACATGCATTTGCTTTGACCTGTGATCATTTAACAGAATTGTGACCGACATGCAATTAACTGTGACCAATATACAAA